TGGAAGGACAGATCCTGAAGCGGAGGCTCCAATACTTTGGCCATCTCATGAGAAGACTCCCTGGAAAAGACCCTGATGTTGGGAAAGTGTGAAGGCAAGAGGAGAGAAGGGGACGACAGAGGATGAGATGGTTGGACAGTGTCATCGAAGTGACCAACTTGAATTTATTTATTTATTTGTTTGTTTGTTTGTTTGTTTATTGGACTTATATACCGCCCCATAGCGCTACAAGCACTCTCTGGGCGGTTTACAATTTTTTAATTATACAGGCTACACATTGCCCCCCCAGCAAGCTGGGTACTCATTTTACCGACCTCGGATGGATGGAAGGCTGAGTCAACCTTGAGCCGGCTACCTGGGATTTGAACCCCAGGTCGTGAGCACAGTTTTAGCTGCAGTACAGCGTTTTAACCACTGCACCACGAGGCTCTTGTCCCAATTTGACCCAACTCCAGGAGGCAGTAGAAGACAGGAGGGTCTGGCGTGCTCTGGTCCATGGGGTCACGAAGAGTCGGACACGACTTAACGACTAAACAACAAATTTTTAAATTTGCTTTTGAAATTGTTATTGCCTGGGTGGTGGTGGATCTCTAAAGTTTACCTGTTTTAACTTGTGTGGCCAGAGTTCTGTCTCAGGCAGCAAATAGCCTTAGGACAGTGCAAAGAATTGTACTAGAAGCCTCAGGCAGAAGAAGCTTTTCCTTAAGAAATGTTGGATCTATCAGGGAAGGCAACATGTCTGGGCCTTGAGATGTAAATTCCATTTTCCCAAATAACTTAACCTTTTCTTACCAATGGATTCCACATCTGGGAGTGGGGGAAGAGAATATGGAAACCAAGCCCATGGAGACATAGTGTAGAAATGGTTCAGGATATTTTTCTTTCTTTCTTTCTTAAATTGATATACCATTCCATTAGCACAACACACTATTCTGGGTGGTTTACAAGGTAGGAACACATATCGACTACTCTCCATGGCTTTTAAGAGTGTTCATGCCTCTTTACGGCTTGGTATTTTAACCTGTTCTGAAGCACATACATAGTTGCCACTAGAAGCCTCAGGCAGAAGAAGCTTTTCCTTAAGAAATGTTGGATCTATCAGGGAAGGCAACATGTCTGGGCCTTGAGATGTAAATTCCATTTTCCCAAATAACTTAACCTTTTCTTACCAATGGATTCCAGATCTGGGAGTTGGGGAGAGAATATGGAAACCAAGCCCACGGAGACATAGCGTAGAAACGGTTCGGAATATTTTTCTTTCTTTCTTAAATTGGTATACCATTCCATTAGCACAACACACTATTCTGGGTGGTTTACAAGGTAGGAATACATATCGACTTCTCTCCATGGCATTTAAGAGTGTTCATGCCTCTTTATGGTTTGGTATTTTAACCTGTTCTGAAGCATATAACGTTGTTGCCTTTTTTTCAGATTCTTCACAGAATTCCTCCTTGAATGCAAATTAAATCGCCAAAATCCTATTGCATTGTTACGTAAGAGGTGTATCTTTTGGAGACTGATTCAAGTCAAGAAATCTCCATTGTCGTAAGCTGGTGCATACTGTCTCATACCACTCAATGTGCAAGATAATGACTGCTCAGATACCTTACCTTGAGGCAATTTACCTGCTAAAGCTATGCCAGTGGCCAAGTGGTTACACTGCAGTATTGCAGTCATAGAAGAGAAGACTCCCTGGAAAAGACCCTGATTTTGGGGAAAGTGTGAAGGCAAGAGGAGAAGGGGATGACAGAGGACAAGGTGGATGGACAGTGTCATCGAAGCAACCAAGATACCAAGATGAATCTGACCCAACTCCGGGAGGCAGGGGAAGACAGGAGGGCCTGGCGTGCTCTGGTCCATGGGGTCACAAAGAGTCGGACAAGACTTAACAGCTAAACAACAACTGCAGTCAAAGCTCTGTGACCTGATTTTGATCCTAACAGGCTCAGCTGGACAACTCAAGGTTGACTCAGCCTTCTATCCTTCTGAGATTGGTAAACTAAATACCCAGCTTGTAGGAGTCTGTGTGCAATGTGTAGCCTGCAAAATTAAATTGTAAACCACCCAGAAAGTGCTTTAAGCACTATGGGGCAGTATATAAGCAGCACCTTTTACATTTAGTAAACATTCCTGGAGAGAGAAAAGTATGATTGTGCTTCACCCTGTTACTGATCAAAGATGACCTCACTCTTTGGAAGGGTGTTTCCAGATACAGGTAATCCTGATAGTATGTGTAGAGGAGGCAGATAAAGAGTATGTCACTAAAACTGCATTTCTGGACTCTGGCCAAAACTGAGCAGACGGTCTATTTTGTAAATTGGGCATCTAAAGGGAAGATTTCTTAGCAATCTAACCATTTTTATTGTCCTGTTCAGCTTAGATAAGTTTTCATTGCCTGATTCTGACAAATGGGCACCTTGAATTACTCTTACAGGACCTGCTGAAGAAATCTGCAGAGTGCATCATCGTCATTATTATAAACAAGTGTATATTAGCCACTCAGTCTTTTACAGATTTTTGGCTGAGTTTTGGAACAAACAGAAGACTGAGAGCATTACAGAGCCTTAAGTGTTTTCTTTGATCTACCCTGCCCCAACGGATAACTAATTTTGTCAGTTAGTGCCCAAGTTCTACTAAGAATATATTCCAGTATTTTTCCCTGAAACATGCATGATTATATGAAACTTCCACCATCCCTGACCCCTACTTTATTTAGCTTATAACATAATTCTTCTAACAACACAAATCAAGGTAGCTTGGTCCCCTAGCCCAATCCGTCTGATCTGATCAGGTGGTGTTTTAGAGGAAAGGCTCATAAATTTACAAGGATCATTAGGTGCAGATTTTTTGTCCAATGTGGATATACAAGGCATCTCTGCATACGGAACAGATTCTGCACAAGAGCCATGAAGCAAAGTAATAAAGCCAAAAATTGAACAGCAAGCCAGAGGTGTTCGTGGCTCACCTGGAAGATGTCATTGGCACATTTCCTGCAGAGATTGTGCTGACAAGGTAGGATGACCACTGGCTTGGTGAACATCTCCAAGCAAATGGGACAGATCAGCTGCCTCTCCAGGCTATCCATGGTGGCACCATCTCTCGGGTAGGAGCTGTATTCCATGTGGGTCGACATGACAAGGGAACGGGCCACTGTTCGACTGGAAGCAGCCTGCGGTACGCCCTGGCCCCAGGCTCACACTGTGGTGAGGAGAAAGGGCAGAAGGACTGTGGCCGCCCCTCAAAGCAGGAGGGCAGCTGTCGGCCTGACATCCCACGAGAACGGCCTTCACTCTTCTCAAAAACTCTCGGAATGCGATAGCAGAAACTCGGTTGCTCTGTCCATCTTCAGGCAGTGGAACAGTTTATGTTTCAACTCTCTCAGCAGCTTGTTTCAACCGCAGTGCAAAACACAGCGCGCTGAAGCCAATTCACAGGATTCAGAAGTTTGGGAAGAGATAGCTATGTTCGTCTGCCCCAGCGTCTCAGGCATGAACAAAAGAAAAATCCAAAATAAAGAAGTCAGAAACAATGCAGCCTCTTATGACACTGCTGTGTTAGGGGTGAGCTTTCAGGGACAAGCCTGATGAGGGGTCGACTGGACTTGTGCAGAAAAGCTCACATTAAAATACAGCAGCTGGTCTTTTAAGATGCCAGAAAGACCCAGAAAGTGAAAGAAGCCTCTTTTGATCACACATACATAGATCCTTTGATCACAGCCAGTGATTGGAAGAGTTCCTGCTCTATACGTTTGCTTACACTGGATGCTTAATTCTATGGGTATCTGCATGGTTACTAAAACTGTCTTCTCAAATGCATCCTCTTTTTAACTTCTGCGCCCCCTGGGTTTTCTGTTCTCCTTCTCAAAATATCCAAAGCATGGGAAGGCCTGTAAGCTCAATTGGACAGCACCTGCTGTGTATGTCAAAAGGCCCAGGTTCACCCCCATTAACAAAAGCCAAGGGTAGTTCTGTAATGGATTCAGTTGGTCTACTCCGACTGGTGGCAGGGGATGGGAAAGACTCTTTAGCTCTTTGCTCACGACCGTGGAGAGCTGCTGTCACCAGTCAAAACAGACAATACTGGGCTAGATCCGTGGTTCCCAACCTTGGGTGACTGCAATTCATGGACTGCAATTCCTAGAAACCCTGGCCAGCAAAGCTGGTGGTGAAGGCCCCTGGGAATTCTAGTTCAATAACACTGGGGTGACCCAAGGTTTAGAACCACTGGGTGAGATGCATGACCAGCTTGATCAGCGACAAGGGATCATCTCACAGACCATTCGCTTTAGGGAGGAAAGATGAATTATCATCACGTCTACAGAGGTCAAGTGAGAAACCAATACCCTCCAGATGTTATTGGTTGGATGGTCCAAGTCACCAGGACCCCAAATCCCATAATTCCTAGCAAACATCTCTAATGCCCAAGAAGGACAGGGGTTGTAGTCCGTCATCACCTGGGGGGAGGGGGGAACCACAGGTTTCCTATTCTGATGTGGAGTATTTCTGCCAAAAAATGACCTTAATCCGAATGACAACTGTAGCTACCACAGCCCCACTGGCTGAAGTCCTGCTGTAGTTGGCATAACATAAAAGTTGTGCTTGCAGAACTGTGCAGGGCATCCATAACTGATTGTGCAGTTCACAGACAAATGATTACACAGCACACCTCCAGAACTCCTTTGTGAATATCACTAGGGATGTTGTTTTGGATTTCTTATACTATAGACCCCATAAATATCCATCTGTGAGTTCTACCTTACAGGATAAATTGCAGACACCTAAACATGGCTCACCTTGGAGAAAGCTGGAAGGTTTTGAGGCTGAGCTTGTCCAAGCATCCTGTTTCTGCTCCAGTTTCCTTTCTGAAAGGGAAGCTAGGCAGAGCTAGGCCTAGCAGTCTCAGAGCTATTCAGTTGAGGCCTTTCTCCCAGGTGAGCCACATTTAGGTGTCTGTCTGTCAGTCTGGCAGAACTCCCAGAATGGAGAATTATCACATCTGTAGTCTTAAGAAATCCGGAGATCCCAAACCTAAAGATGACTTCCACTACTTTCACTACTAGTTGCATAACTTTGAGTTACCCATGTGAATCCATTCTGTAATGGATTCAGACTGGGACTGGCAACTGGACTGAGGCCACTGACGCTCAGAGTCTAAATCTTGTGAAAGTCTAAAGGGCATCCCTTCAAAAAAAAGATGTTTTAGGCCAGGAATGACGCAAGGAGTTGGAAAGATGAAAGATCCTGCAGAACTGTTTCTTGGAAGCAGGAGACCATCTAAATTTGAAGCTGCCTTTGAAACGTGCCACCCCCTCCGCCCTGACCCCTCTCCCCGAGAACCTCTCCAATATCGAATCCAGCCCTTGCACTGAAAGAGGAACCCACCCTTGACATACATTGATCACTCCACTGGAAAACAAACAATCAGGTAGAGATCCTGAACGCAAAAGGTCTGAAAGCGAACCCCCAACTTTCTACCACTCCTTTTGTAAATAGATCATGAGCCACAGGCACCAGCTTTTGGCAGGGAGAAGGGCTAGCTGGAGGCCAACAGTGAGTTACTCAACAGTAATGGAGAAAATGAAAGGTAGATAAACAGGCAGCAGCTTGAAAAAAAATTCTTCCTGTCCCTTGAGAAACACTACGGCTGAAGACATCAGCTAGTTCTCCTTAAAGGGCAGCATGCCACACCACGAGCATGTTCCGCTGCAAGACACATCCCTCCAGTGAGGTTTGCCCAGGAGGAAGTGATTAACAAGCGGGGGATGGACAGACAACGGATGGACAGGCAAATCAAGATCGAGGGATCGGTTGAGTGTTTTGTGTGTGTGTTTTTTGGCCCTGAAAACATTTATTTTACAACCTTGGTTTCTGATAATTTAGCAGTCTTTATTTTTTTTATTATTTTTTAAGTTCCTATTCAGACATACAATACATAAATTATCATGCTAAAACATAAAATAATTCCTTCTGCTTGAATTGTAGGTATGTACAGGAGCTCAGTTCTTGCGAGTGTTAACAATCCACGAATTTCAGACAGCCACAGCTACTTACATACAATTTAAAGGTCGATCCTTTAAGTAACATAACAAAATATATATATATATATTCTATGTATATATATATTTATATAGAATTGCTTTTCAAATGCATGTATACTTCAATTGTTTTTTTCCTTTTACAACTAACAATTTTCTTTTAAAACATGTTAGGATTTTCCCTTGTCCCATCCTGCAAGTATAAGTGCATAAAGGAGACCCTTGTTACATCTTCAGGTCACACAGACGTCAGAAGAGGCCACAATAAAATATACTAAAAAACAACAGTTAAGTCAAAGATGGAGTCTATTAAACATGATTGTTACAAAGCACTGGGTCATTCCAATGGAACTTTTAACCTTCATTGAAACAATTAAAGCCTGGATGAGAGGAGCACAGACTAACCACACCTCAGTTTATCTTAACATCTTACTCGTATGCAAGAAAGAGACCACCTTGAAGAGAGGGATAGCTAGTTCAGGAGAGAAAATATGACCCCCCCAAAAAAGCGGGGAGCAGGAGGAGATGATAGAGGAATGAATCACACAACAGCAGCTGAATGATGCAACACACTCACACACTCAAATGCACACAGATGTACACAGTCAAAACGAAAATGCACCACCCAAAGCTTTTGCAGCTATGACAGGCTTCCGAAAGCATTCCAATGACACATCCACACAGTCACTGAAGTACATCGCAGCTATATCGCCCAAATTAAAACTCGCTTAAGAAACATCAAAACCTAAGCTGTGTGGATGGCACTGTACAATTAAGCAGTCCAAGTGATTGCTTCCAGCAAAATAGGAGGGAGACACCACACATACAATTTTGGGACTATCGGTGAGACATCACTATTGTGAAGACAGAGAGAAGAAAATCTAAAGACCTCAAGGGTGGGGGGAAACAGCTCATAAATTCAAGAGGGCAGGCCCAGAAGGCCACCTCTGAAATGACCAGTTTTGGGGGTCTTTAAAGAATCATGTTAATTGGTTAACTTGGTTAATGTGACCCTTCCAAAATTAGTGCACTTGAGAAAAAAAAACCTTCCTACAATTCTTGAAAACACCAAAATCTATACACAAATGCTGCAAGAGCATTTAGCTAAGTGCATTTATACACAATTTATTTTTGCACACACAAACACAACACACCCCAGCTTCATCTCGTCTGGAATGGGATATTAATTTTAAGACTAGTTTCCAAGTGAGAGTTTCCCAAAATATAGCATTACTCGTGCAGGGCAGTGTGAAGTCTGAAAATATAACATTTGATAGCTACCGGCAACCAAATGCATAAGCTTTTTCTTTGGCAATTACAGTTCCTCATCCATGATACATTTTCAGACATGAGAAAGCCTTCTAAGGACCCTATTCTGCTGGGTGGGATGGGGTGGGGAGAATCACTGCACAAGTAGCAGCTTCCCAGATGAAAAGCAAATAGTTCAGTACAATTAAAAATAAAGCCTGGGGTTCTGTTAGCAAGCAACCAGCCAAGGTCCTCAGGTTGCACCTGCTCCAGATCTCAGCCAATAAAACCCACAACCCTCTTCGTACCAAGAGACAAAGTGGGGATTCCGTCTCTTCTAAACAGGAAAAGTGCTCTGAGGATTGAGGACGGGGACTGTCCTCAATGTCACCTTATGGACAAGATGTAGACAATCAGGAAATCTAATGTAACTTAAGCAAAAGAAAAATGAAAAAGAAAGTCTGTAATGTGCTGACAATGCATTTAAGCATATAATGCTGCAAAGGTTCACATTTCACGGATGCTGGCCATGGTCATTCTGCATGGGAGCCCAACAACCTTTTTAAAAGTTCATTGTCCCATTTAAGATCTCGGCCTTGTTTCTCATTAGCTTTTTTTTAACCTCCAAATGGAACGGCTGCATCAGTTTTGATTGCTAGGGAGCAGGAGAAATGCTCTGAAGTTGATGTATATACATTCAGGTCCCTGGAAAGTGCATTTATCCCAAAGACCCAGGGCTCAGATTTGATTTGGCCACAGCGCAGGATGAAGAAGGTGCTTGAGGCCGATATGAATGCTATTGATGTCCAGCAAAAGAAAATAAAAACCTACTTTGAAAAAGCTGAAAAAGGCTAAAGGAAAATTTACAAGTCTTCTGGCTGCAAAATATGAATTTGTAAAATTAAAAAATTACTAGTGAAGGAGAAGCAGGGGAACATAGGAGTATAAAAAACAGAACTACCCCTGAAGACAGATGAATATGGGGTTTCCCCACTTACCAGAAAAAATTAAGGTAGTATAAAACACTACTGGCCATATACTCACTTTCACTTTTACTTAAATGTTTTTGGTGTGGTTCCCAAAATCTGCTGATTCCTATTTTATCAAAGATGACAATAAAAACCTATATCAAGCAGAAGGCAATTAGGGCCCTGAATGTTAGCTGTATTTTAAACTTTGCATCATCTCTATGTGTCAATTTTGAAAGAGGTTGAATTTTCCAGATTTAAGAACGGAGACTGGGTATATGACCATGGTATACTCTTTTATACTGGCATATTATTCAAGCATTTCAGGGTTATTTAGACAAGCTTTAGCTAAGTGTCAATTTATGAAAGAGGAATGATATAAGACAGTACGATTTTCAATATTACACAGAGAAATATTATTTATTTCTCTCTTGAAGAGAACTACTGGAATGAACTTTAAAAGCATTACCCAGAGGAGTCAAACCTACTGATTGAGCTTAAAATTATAACATATACAAGCTGATATTTAGAATGCAAGACTGAGAAGGAAAAAGAGAAGAAAACTGCTTTCATAAGCCACTTAACTGTGTTGGAGATTAAAGCAGTTTGTTTGCACTGTCAATAAAGCATTTTGGAACTCTAGATTTGTAGTGACTGAAGCTTGCATACGAACTGGAAAGCAACTGTATAATAATTTTCCTTTCTACTACAGTCCAAATGTTTCACCAGGAGTAACATACTGGAATCCAAATATTATTAGATCATGAAATCAGTCCTAGTATAGAGTATAGGTAAATTAAAATTGAGTCAAGATGACACCTAAGTTTTAGGCTGTGACCTCTGCCTGAAAGTTTATAATATATACTACAAACTCATTCTCTGTATTTCAGATTACATTCAGTAAGCTAGTTGAAAGTTTATGAGTAGAAATAAGAATTATTTTCCCTGGGGTGAGGAATTGAGGGGAAAGGTATAAACTCTAGTTAGAGGCCCCACCCTTGCAATGATATGCTTATAGATGGAATGCAAATATGGATACTGATAACACTGAATCCTGCAAGTGGCTTCCGGGTACATTAAAAGTATGGTGCTGTCCAGAATATTTGAAAAACATTAATAGAGCCCTTTTAACATTGTGTTGTATTAGTGCTGCTTATCATGCACATGTCCAGGAATCCTGTTCTGCTTGCGCCAAGGGAAATGCACACTGAATGAAACCTTTGGAAAGGGATGGTGGTAGGAAAAAAAGAAAAGCTTGTTTGACTTCCAGAAGATCATGTGGGTTGATGTGTTCAACAAGATTCCAAAGTTCTTCCCTTTCACTTCTCAAATTTCCTTCGGCTCCAGGGAAGCCTGGCAACATCTGGGGAAAAGCCACATAGAAACAACCCAAAAGGAATGTCAAAGGAAAACACGAAAGACCTCATTAGGGTAAGATGAAGTGCGAGACAAAGGAACAATGTTATAGCAGAGAGTTAAAAGTACCAGTTCAGACTGCAGGTTGAAGTCATTTTTTAAATGCTTGCTGACGTTGGAACACAAAACAATAAAATCGCTGAATGAACAAAAGACAAGATTGGTGGGCGGGGAACCCTTCTTCCCTGATATTTTAGACAGAAAACTAGATGAACATCCTTCTCTCCATTACACATATGCACACATGGACACACAAACACAAACACACACATACACACACACACTTCATTCCACTTTCTCAGCCTGCTGCAGGCATAAATCAGCTTCTGCCAAAAGAGAGACAGAAAAGAGACAAAAGACAGGGGGAAGAGACAGGGAAGAGTCCTCAGAGCTCTAAAAATATCAGAGCATCCCCCAATCCTAGTGTTTCCATCCCCCCCCCTCCACACACACAAAATTTCCATTCATGATTCCACCACCACCATCACCACCACATCATAAAGAGGTACACCGCTGGAGTGTGTTTACAGTACACTTGCTGGTGCAGAGAAGAAAGGGCAGGGGAGAAGTTAACGGAAAGGAACACATCTAAAGCACAATAACATTTACACAATATTTCATTAGACAGACTCAAGAAAACTGAAGTGGTTTGTTCATTGAAAGGTATTTAGCAACACTAATGAATCAAAGACTCAGTGTTTACACCAGTGCAGTGAGGCACCATAAAAGTTTAATACAGTTTAGTCTTATTGCTCCCGTTTTATAAAGGGAGCAAAAGTCGTTGATTTGAAATGGACCAGGACTTTTAGCCCTGGTCTCACAGCTCCATGCTCAATGTCTATTTCTTGCCTCCCACAGCAGCAAATATCCAACCGAGAAGCAAACCAGCTCCAGTTCTCTGAAGAGCTTCTCCATCATGGCATGTGTTAGTTGCATTCACTCTAAGGACTTTTAACACCAGGAACACAGAGATAGTCCAGAGCCTAGAACATACAATATGCGAAGTGGCCCATAACTATTTCAGGTAAGGTTGGTTTTTGTTTCTCAGTTTTTCTTCTTCTAAAAAAGCTGCTTGTGAGAACGCCAAAACAATGACATTATATATACAAATGATAATGTCTATTCAAACCACAGAAATCTAAAATCTGCTCAACTATTTATTTGCATTGACTTCATTTTAAGCTAAACAATGAGAATATACATCCGGTTTCCATATTCATGCACAAGTAAAAAAAAATGGCAATATCTGATTATAAATAGTGCAGGGGAATGATTAAATTCTAACAAAAATTAGTGTGCACTTAAATTTTAAAATGCAGACATATCATTCAAGTAACATCTTGTTTTGCAGCAAAACACACATTTTGGCCCTCTCCTACACAAGAATGTCTTTAACTATAAAGTAGCTCACGGTCAGATACGGTCTGAAGAAGAAACAGGTAAAGGGAATATTTTCAGAAATCAGCAATTTTTTTAAAAATTGCCTTCCTCACAACATAAGCATTTTTCAAGGTAAAACTACTTAGGAGGAAGTCAAAGGGAATAGTGGGGAAATATTGAAAAGTGCATTTGCTCTCAAGTGGATAATGAAGAGCAGCCTTCATGGGATGTTCAGAGCTCAACTGTATGGAAGTGCAGTAGCTTCTGTGACAGATCTAACTTCTCTTGGAAAATGCTCTTTTGTTTGGGTTATTATTATTATTATTATTTTGGCTGGTATCACTGCTTAAAATGCAGAATGTATCCATCACACTCGTTGTGATAACTCCTCAATACATTACAACACAAAGACGTTTATAACGTAAATTCCACACATGCTATTTTTAAAAAAAGAAAGAAAACGAAAAGACCAAAGCTAAACTGTTTTAAATACTGCATGCTACAGTACTTCCATGTATCATCAAGATACGACACTGAAGGTGACAAAAGGCGAAGGGATTACAAAATATTCTCAGCAGGTTGGAGGCTGCCCCCTTACTGGGGCAGATAATGGGTCTCCCCTCCCCATATACTATGTCTAATGTCCATGATTCTAGTGCTGGATTGGCCATATTATTTATTCTTCTCCATTCTAGACAACAGTGCTTCCTTAACTTAATTAAATCCATCGGTGTGGTAGCTGGGGTGGGAGTCCGCCGTGAGCTGAGTCGTCTCTGTGGCTGAGGCTGGCTGTATCACAATTGGTGTTTCTGAGGCCTCTGAAAAATAAACGGCACCTGTTTAAAAGAGTAATTGCTTCAAACTGCAGGGATGACACCATTAAACTAGCTTTGTCAAGAGCTGCTTGCTAGTGGCAAACAGGATCGGCTTCTAAGCAACTAGGCATGAGAACTCTGTCCTTGTGTTCTGCTTTTAGGTCACCAATAATCCAAGACAGATCTCTGCAGAGAGAGGACAAGAGTCTTGTAACTTTGTCGATTGATCTGAAAAGCAGAACTAGACTGTGGGAGAGTTATAATTTTTACAAGATCCATAGACACAGGCTTAGTTTGTTATTCTGCTATCAGCTTCAGGCAACACATACCAACATATGACATCTAATTATTTCATAATATTTTGTAGCAGCTGGGTTTCATACAATAAGGGGGAAAACCTCATTAATAGACAGGGGATTTTAAACGATTCATCGAGTGAACCAAGGGACATCCCAAATTTCCAGCTACGTTACTGCTGGCTCATGTGCTCTGGTATTTTTCATCCCCCTGTACAGCCCATGTCCTCTGCCTGCAGGTCTCAGCTGGCATCATATTTGCATCCATGGGGCTTCTCACGTGTGTGTGTCCTGCCTGTGTGGTTCTCCATTTCCTTTAGTTATGTAATGTGGGGCTCTAAGTTTAACCTGTAAACAGCCCCAAAATGTTTGCAACTAATGGCGTGGTATATCAATCAATTAATCAGATAAGCAGGCAGCTAATTAAACCAACAAAGATACTAATTAAGACCAAGGAACTAATTTCAGACAAAGCACATCAATGCAGGCTTTGGACCAGGGTGGGCAAAACGGTCCAATACGGATTAAGTTCTCAAGTCAAGACCCCACTGTATATCAATCAATTAATCAGATAAGCGGGCAGCTAATTATACCAACAAAGATACTAATTAAGACCAAGGAACTAATTTCAGACAAAGCACATCAATGCAGGCTTTGGACCAGGGTGGGCAAAACGGGGGCCAAACCCCTCTCCCCCACCCCCAGCTGTTCCTGTGGCACAAAAGACATTTCTCCCAATGATACCATTGGATTACAGCAGCAAACAAAAACACCACATTTCCGCAGCTGCTGGGGAAATCCTTTCAAAACCCAGCTTTTCCTGTTGTGTTGCTGGTCTTTCTACAGTCTGTGGTTCAAACTCACTGCTCTAATACACTGCCAGACTTCACTAGTGTGAACACAGGGAAATGATCCCAGGAAGTCCCAAGTTGGGTTATTCTGCTTTAATCATATATGCTTTGATTTTTAACTTACCTGTTCGGACACCCATCGGCACCCACACACCTTTCCTTCATAGAGGAAATACATCTGATGAATTCCATGAGACGAACATTTTAAAATGCAAATGTGCAACACAGCTATTGCTTTTTGAGTGCCCCCTGACAGGTCATAGTTTAAATCACATAAAATCCATCTCTGTCCCATCTGTTTGTGATTCACACATGGAGGGATTTCATTCCTGGGTGGGTTCTGGAAAGCCCAAGCCTTACCCCTTTCATCTGACTGTAGCTGCGCCTCCAAGTCTTCAGGGGAGACATAGTATTCCTGCTCTTCACCTTCTGGGGGTTTTGGTTTACACTTTCCACAGCAACAATTACAGCAACAGCACAGACAGCAACAGCAATAGCAGCCTGTGATGAGTCCACAGAACACAAACAGCGCCTGCAAAGGGGGGGAGGGAGAGAGAAAGAAAGTAAATAAAACCAACACAAAAAGCCACCTCTGCTCCTGAAGTGATGAATGCCAGCTTAATTTAGATGTCATGTTAGGCCCCTGGGGGGAGGGGAAAGAACCTGAAAACCACTTCTTAAATACTATAAGCAGAAGACAGCCTGAGAGGATGATCTAAATTAGGATGGGCGCCCCTCAATCACATTGCCCTCTTAAGCCATCTCCTAAGTGCCATGAAGTTTCACGCAACAACCCAAAACCCTTGGCTAATTTGATCTTGCGCAGCTTTTGGTCTGCAACGCTCTCCGCTTGGTTTCTTGGCAATGACAGATGCTCCTGAGGAGTTCATGTAAGAACACCATGATAGGAATGATTAACAGCCAAAATGTTTACTGGGCAAGAACACCAGATTCATAATCTTGAAGCAAACACAAGGGCACTTCTATCGTGCCAGCATTTCCTCAAGAGGGACCTTTCTGCAGATGGTTATGGGAGAGAGGAGGGGAAAAAATATCTCTAGGACAGCGTAAGTCCAATATTTGAGGCCTTCTTTTATGAAGAGTACAGTTGAAACACTAATTTTAACAAACTTAATTTTTAAAAAGTCTTTTGGGCTGCAAATGTAATACTTGCTCAATTTAAAGAACACCTCACATATATAACACTTGACCTACTGCAAACATCTAAATTTTCAGATCACTTTTGCGGCTCTGACAGGATCAGAAGAAGTGGTCTTGATCCATGAAAGTTCACACTGAAATGCAACCCTCCTTAAGATGCTATGAAGATCTTGCTTTTCTGCCTTTGTTATTTTGCTATTTTATTTTCATCTGATATACAAGACCTTTTCCCCATTCAAAGTCGCCTAACTGCCTACACGCTGTAGAACTGCAAGCTGCTATATGTCATGCCATGAAGATCAAGTTCTATAGTTTGGCACACTCATATTAGGGTCGGCACCCTAAAAGGGGAGGAAGTTGCCTCCAGTGTCCGGGGGGGCTGTCTGATGTCACCCAGTGCTCCCAGGCATGGAGGCCACCAGACTTCAGGCAGGCACCAGGACCAACTGCTCAGCTCAGGGGAAGGAGACAGGCAGAGGTGATGAGGAGGAAGACCTGGAACACGCAAGAGTCCATAAAAGCAGAATTGTTTCAACTTCCCATTCTGGAGCCCATGGAAACACAAGCTGCCACAGCACTTGGTGGGAGGTAGAGGTGCGCAGAGCAAGTTATTAGGTCTGTGGATTAATTTAAAACTGCAGCTTTTCAAATGTCAACAGCTTGCCAACTATCTTCAGCACTGGTTATGCTTGTTAGGAGTTGTAATCTGATAACATTTGGAGAGACACTTGCTCCATCACTAAATTAAATAAATTGAACAATGAATAATACTGTTGATTTACTGAAAGTATATACAAACCTGTGGCTGGGACTATGCATGTTGAACAGCATTCTACATTGTAAGTGAATATGGGGGGGGGGGTTTGTTGTTGCACCCATGTCTCAGTTGCAGAGGGAAGGAGCTGATGAACTGAAACTCTAGACAGGATAGATCCAATATGGTTCATCTGTTCTTCCGAAAGTCTAATCTAATACTTCTAAATCCACCCACCAAAAGCACAAGGAGTGGATGAAGAGGAGTCAAGCAACCTCCTTACATCCCCATTTTACACAAAGTCACAGCAAATGCCCATGCTTTTGGGAACTGCTAGTTTGTGGAGCAGTTATTGTTTTTCCTATAACACCTTAGGTCCCTCACACACCATACACCAGACCTGGGCAAAGTGCAGCCCGAGGGCCACATACACCCCGCGAGCCGCTCCAGTCTGGCCTGTCGGTCGTTGCTCCAGTCCAGTGTCCAAGCACTTGTTCAAGCCCAAGACAGACTGGATTTCTCTCACTGAACAAGCTGAATATCAAAACCATTAATAGCTTTTTGTCTGAAGTTGATCAGTTGCTTATCTTTTATTTTTAAGTAAAGTTGGTTCGGCCCCCGAACACAGTTCAGATTTTTCATGCGGCCCCCTTATAGAAATTAATTGCCCACCCCTGCCATACACAGATAGCTTCTTTCTGAAGGCCAAGTAGCCGGGAGAAGACAAGGAAAGAAAATGTAACCACGTCTCATTTACCAAGACAAACAAGAGTCTCACAAAGATGACAGCACATGGCATATCACACCTTTACAAGCTAGAAGACCACAAAAACTTTTCTATGGCAGACTAATATAAGTCATATCTATTTCAAACTACCAAAAGCATACAAAAAACACTCTAGGGTTTTCAAGAGGCCATATTTCACATATTATTGCTCACAGAATATTTCTAAAACCACTCCCCTTTTTTGCTTCAGAACTCATATTTTGCTAAGGCTTTGATTAAATCATAATTGATTGGCCGACAGTTTAAAAAACACACATTTTTCATAAAAGTACTTGTAATACTGCAATCACCACCTAATGAAAGGAGACTTTGCTTTTTGTTCATACAGAAGTCAATGTTTGAGCTAAGCTGATGTGTGCAAAAAGACATTACTTATATTATCACAAATATTTTGTGCCTGTATACAAATTTGATCAATAGCTTAACAAAAATTTGTCCTGATAATGACCTAACATTTCTTTAATGTGTTTGCAACCCTAGTATTTTTTCAGCTCACCAGTTAAGAAAACCTGTAGGTCATTTTCTTAGACATAAGACAAACGGAAGATGATAAAGATGCCAAGGAAATTGCTTTGAAGCTTGAATATTTTTAATTTTGAAAAAATTAGGCACCAGAAATACGGGTTCTTATCAGGGTTATATTTTAATGCAAGTTTCCTAGGGAAGGAAGAAATCACATGAAGAGGGAAGATCCAATCGAAAAATAACAAGATCTAACTACTTTTCTGGTCCAGATTCTCTGGCTGTGTCTCCTGATAATATTCTGCAATGTATAATGTCTGGGCAAGCATCAGTCCTTTTCAGATAAACCAGGCAACTTAATTTAACAGCTACCACCTTCAACAAGAAGCGCAGTAGAGGAACCTTTCCACACACCTCACTAG